GCTCTCATTCGAGTTTTGAGTTTTGCCTCTTTGGCAGCGCACCAACAGCTTTCGATCTGAGAGGCGAGTGTACACTGGAAGGAGCGCTTCTGCAACATATTCCGGGAGGTTGTACCGTTGCTTAGGAGGAGCCTGCTGCCTTGCCACTGCCTTGTTGTGGGCACACCATGAGTCTTCTCCCTTCGGGCACCGTGAATGTTGTGGCTTTGCATCAGTAGAAGTCACATGATAGTAAGTGGCAAGGACAGCATTCTCCATCTCATCGATGTTTCCCTGGTGTGCCTTGAGTGCCCAACCATAATAATTTGTAAGCTTCGTTACAAGCTCAGCAGTGAGCTTTCCTTTGCCACCGAGGCTTGGCCGACCTTCCCCCTTTCTCTTCTGCAGGAGGTGTCTCAGTGCAGCGCCCATCCTTTTATGTATATGTTTGACGCAATCCTCCTTTTCGATGGCCACGAAGCCATACACTTGCTCCTCCTGAAGGCTGTTGAAAGCGCGGCTATCGCCATCGCACAACATCGTTGTGTAGCGGAATCCATGCTTTTCGAGGGACCGGCGAAACAGAATTTTGGCAGCCTCCACCTCCATCTGGCCAGGCTTGCTCGAAGACGATAATTATAGCGCGAGAACAAAACGACGACACAGAGACAAGAAGGACACGAAAGACCTTCTTGTCTCTGTGTCGTCGTTTTGTTCTCGCGCTATAATTATCGTCATGCCATACCAACTAGCCCAAGCTGCCACACTTGCTCGAAGAGTTTTTTTGGCACTTGTGCCGAGCTCGCCCCTCACTGCATCGAGGGTCGTCGTCCTTGGGGCCAATCTCGCAACCCAAACAGAAGTTCGAGAGAACTTTGAAGTCCAACACATAGCCCGAAAACAGTTCTATTACAGTTCCCACACAAATGTGTGACAAGTGGCCACGAGTGAGCCAAGTCCCGTCATAGGAAACTGCGATATTGCCGGGGTTCCCGAAATTCAGTTCAGAATAGATGGCCTTCACAGCTGTTGCGCACTCGCTCATAATAACCGCGGATGCGTTCATCGCAACAGGGTTCATCTTGGTTTTGACATAGTCTTGGTACGTTTTGTTGTGCATTCCACGACGAGACACATTCAGGGCCGAAAAAATGTCGTTTAGCACGGTCTGCCCATTGCCCGTGCTCATAACTGCACGAGCCGCAAGCACATTTACTTTGAAAGGGTTGCAGGTCGCATTCCCCCCTGCTCTCGGCGAGCTCCATCCGGCACTGACATTTCCGCAGACGGCACAGTTCACCACTATTCTAACTGCCAATCCGTACTCACGGTCGCCCCGTGAAAAGTTCAATGGGCCAGAGCAGAATTCGCATTTCGCGCACCGAAGCAGTTGGTTTAGGAGCGGTAGGCTTAGCAGCGTAAACTCGGTGCCGGACCCCGCCGCTTCCGGGGAATCTCCGATAAGCGACCGCTTTCGGCGTGTAGCTGATAACGAAGACAGCTTCTGTTGTTGCTCTTCCGCGCGATGCTCAATTGCCACTTTTTCCGCTTCTGTCACAAAATGCGTATCGACGCGCGTTGTCCTCGTGTCGTCGGCCACAGGCATCGCTTGCGCGGCTGCAGCTTCGGTGGATATCGTACACTCGCTGGTGCATGTCGCGGAGCTCATCACCGTCGATTTACTCGACGCTGCTTCAGGTATCCGAGACCGACGCTTGCGATTTTGCCCTAGGCATGAGCTGTCGCGAGTTTGCGTCGCCCGCCAGCCATCGTCGCGTCCGAACAATTTGTGACAAGGAGTCGCGCATTGTTGCACACAGTCGGGCAGACGAAATTTTGGGTCGTTCAATCGTAGAGCAGGATTTTCCCCACGTGGTATAAACGCGCCAATGCCGTGCGAGTATTCCCTCCTTTTCGGAGGCGTGTAGCTCCATAGTCGCCAGACTTAGAGTATTTTTCTCGCTAAAACCGGATTGCTGAAAAATTTACCTTTCAAATGATTCCAAAATGGCCGTGCTGCGGCTAACGGTTACCGCAGACGACGGCATTGAAATTGCCCGTTTTGGGGGCGCGTTTTCGAGCGAGAGTGATCATGAAAATCTCTTTAGAACGCAATAACAAAATAAATACTAATCGGAACGCGTTGATATTCCAGCAATAGATTCTTTTGGACCTCGAGATTTCAAAAAAAAAAAATATTTTGAAAAATTGATTTTTTGGCAATTTTTTGCTCTAAAAGACCCGTGTCTCCCCTTAAGACGCAATTTTAAAGTACTGCCAGTTGAGTCTTGACATAGATACCTACTTTGGAACAGTAGAGGTACTAATCTTAATGATGCTTGATATAGACTGCCAACCGACATGGCCGGCGCAGTTTTCCAAGTGTGGCATTTCAGTACCACCAGCACCCATTTCTATTGTGAGCAGAAGCAGTGGCTCACACGATGGCAATGACTGTGACTGCTGCACCATTCTCTCAAGCGACGAGTCGTAAGCGATGTTTGATGGTCAAATAAATGTTTCTTTGTATCACTCCCTCTTCTGAAAGACTTACTGGGGTGCTGTGGCCGCGGCATGAGGCTGTGTTCACAGTCAACTTTTCGATTTCTTGCCTAGAAGGGGTTGCAAGTTGCGGTGTATGCATATAATCGGCAATATACAGTAGTACTGAACAGGCACCTATCAGGAGGCCCTAACAAGGGTAGCCCAAAGTGTCCCAAGGGATGCTCCGCAGAGCTTTTACTCTGCTTGTTAACTACAGGCCCCAAAGAATCCCAAAGAGTAACTTAGACAACTCAAGGGAGAACAACATTTGTGTGCATGAGCTGGTGGTAGGGAGTAGGGGAAAAATTAGATTGAGAAGCACATGTCGGATCAAGACAGGCAAGGAAGTCACAAGAGCAAGTGAACTGCAGCTTGCATACTGCTTTCATAAAAAATTATTATTTGCAGGATTATTCACCAAATAAAAGAGCACTGATGCAGGTATTCATTTATTCCTTACTTCACACTGCTTGATAGTATGTTATTTTAGACATTCTGTCCGGCCAATAGAATCAGGATTAATGATAATGAGTCTTTACTGTACGTCGGACATCGCGGCAGAGTGTGTACAGACCATGTGCACAGACTCGCCCGAGGACTGCACGAGTAAAGCAAGGTTCAGTTCTGCAGGCGCACAGCCGAAACAATTGCAAACCACTTTTGACAAAAGTGCGGAATTAGCGCAACACTATCCAAGCAGCGGAACTGCTGCGCATGTCACATTTACAATATGTGCGCATTAAAGAGACAGAAAAACATGAAACGCATCAAGAGCGTCAACTATGATAAAACTGCAAGGAGGTATCATGGAAATTAAAAAATGTGGAGTGCAAATGAAGCAGTGCATGCAGAAAAGTGCATGTGAGCCCAGAAGGATGTGCTTCACGCAGTGACTGCCGTAGTGGTTGCTTGCACAAGTTGCATGTGATCGGTGGTGGGTCCTAACACTGCGTAAGACATGATGGCTGGTAGTTTCTTTTGCACGGTCCTTTCGCACGGTTAGCGAAGGCGGTCACATTAGCCCACTGTTTTGAAAATGCAGTGATGATGGAAACAATGAACTAAAACTACACTTTTCTTTCCCCATACAGCAGTCTATTAGTTCTGGATATGTTCTAAAACTATCTGGCAGTTTTAAAGTGAGAATTTACAGCTGGCAGTTTTAAAGTGAGAATTTACAAGACCTTTTTCTTATTGAAAAGTTTACAACTTTGCCAGAACATGCTGTGCAATACTGAATTAGCCCACTTATTTAAATTTTGCTCTACTTGGAATTACGAGGATTCGGCTATTTAAGGGGGCAGACTGCTCTTTGGGACCAAAAAGCGACAAAAAAAATAATTTTTTAAAATTGACATATTTGGTATCTGCAAGTATTTTGCTATCTCTCTGCAAATTTTTACACACCAGGAAGTGATAATTTCTTTGTAATATATTCTAACTGTCCAGATCCTTGGTGCTGTTAACAAGAAGAACCTGCAAAAAAATGGGGAACTAACTTCGAGGCCTCTTTATAATTTGCCGGCACTTGTGTTAGAAGCTCTGCTACGAATTTATGAGCACTTTTATGAGGATTGCAAAGATGCACACTATGATTGTTGCTTTTTGAAGAAGCTGTGTGTTTTCAGTTTTTTCCATTTTTCTCAAAAACGTAAATTTACAACTGTTCAATTCTGAGGCCTCAATACCTCTGCAGCTAGGGCAGGTACAACAATAATTCTTTTTGCAATGGAAACCTGTATGCGTGTAGGGTGCAAGTATGGGAGCAGATTTTAGAGAACAAGCCTTTTTAATTAAATACTCATCAAAATTTTAACACAATTCCAACTGCTTTTGAAAATGGATAGTTCATTTTGCTGTAAAGTAATAAAGAAGGCTTAAAAACAAAAAACTCTTGCATTATTCCAATCTATAGTCATTAGTCTATGTTAGGATGTTTTAAATATCACTTTTAATTAAGCACTTTTTTTCTATGGCGGCCTTAAACAATAGGGGTTGAAGTTAAGTTATCTCAGGAATAAGATGAGTTACAGAAAAACTAATTAAACATTTGAAACCAGCAGAGAAAACTGCATAATTCTGTGCAGTTTGATCAAGATCACTGAAGAAATAAACAAAAAATGTCTAAGAGCAGTCTGCCCCCTTAATGCAGCCGAAATTGATTCCTTCAAACCAATTTTTCATACATTCCTGCAGTAAATGTTGGCATATCAGTAGGCAAATGAATTATCAAATGTCGTGAGGTTGCCCACAAGCGGCCAAGGACGAAGGGAACAGACGTGAACCCTTGAAAGCCTGTCATTGACATCATTATCATCAAGCCAACTGCCGCAGCCCGAAGGCCTTTCCGAAGTATGACCAATTAACCTAGACTTACGCTTGCTACAACCACATTGTCCCCACATGCCTTTTTGTATCTGCTCATGCATATGAATACACATTGAAGGGTGGGTGTTCACCCCTAGACCAACACGCACCTGTCGGGACTCAGGGCTGGAGATGGCGCCCAGCCTAGGCCGGTGAAGCTGGAAAGGGCTCTCGGCCTCCAAGTGCAGACTGCCTTCGAGGCGGCCCCACATGGCACGCTGCATGTGCCACGGGTGGTACAAGGAACCCAGCACTACGCTCTCCAGGTAGACGGGCTCAATGAAGAGCGACAAGAGTGAGCCCTGCAGGCCCAGCACATTCCAACGGGCCAGCTTGTCTGAGCATGACATGGTGAGCAGCCGCTGCTGACCGTGCAGCACTCCATCCCATGTCTGCAGCACGGGGCCCAACCTGCTCAAATATGAGACAGTCGAACCCCTTTATAAGAGACACTGATGGAACAGACAATTGGGTATAAGAGACACAAATGTGCCTGCATCGAAATGTGGGTGCATAAGAAAATGCATACGTGGTACGCTGCTTATTATAGACAACTCGTACAAAGGATGAGAATTGCTGCCCGCTGCATGTCTGTTATAAAGTGGGTTCAACTGCAATAATAATTGTTGGCATTTTACGTCCCAAAACACAATATGATTATGACTAATGCTGCAGTGTGGAGGACCCTCAAAATGTTGACTATCGGGTTTTTTTTTTTTTTAAAGGATACTGAACAAAATTTCAGCCATATTGGAAGATTGAGGGCTCAAAGTCATCGACACAACAAACAGAAACAAGGGAAAGATGATAAATTTAATGCGCTTTTCACAAACTGTCGCGCCTAGCATCCACGCTGTGAACTAGAGGAGGTGACATTTGGTGACGTTACACATACTGCAAACGGGTATGCCAACAATGCCAACTGTTGCCCGCATCTTTCAACCAACTCAGCTCCCCCATGAAGCCCAGAATCACTATCAACAGCACCAGCTATAAACAATACTCTCGGCTGTGGTAAAGAAACTGCGTTTGTGGAAGGGGGAGAGCAGGATGATAGTAAACGTGGAGAGAGGAAAGAGGGGGCAGGAAGACGTCCACTCTACATGCAGCTCAGTAAATGAGGTGACACAGCCGAGTGTGCAGCTGTGGCACGCTGACAATCTACCAAAAATACAACCAACACATCGAAGACCTCCTGCTTCGATTACTGTCTGCAGTATTGTTCAAAAAATAGGTGAAATAAACAGCGTTTACAGGAATAGTCACGTCTCCTCTCCCGAGTAGCATTTCAATGTTTTTGCCAGTTTTTTCCATTTTTTGTTCAATATTTCTTTAAAATACACCTTAATCTAAGCACACAGGCCTTAAGAACATTCACCTCCATTGAAAATGTGGCTTTGGCAACCATAATTTGATCCTAAAACCTACGGATAAGCAGTCAAGCACCACTGCACCACCATCTTGTGTGTGGGGTAAGTGTTGGGCGACGGAAGCGCCAGTACATTGTCCTCGCTTCCTCTTCTGTGTTTCTGCGCTATACTCAGGCAGTGTCCAATCGCTAGGAAGCCGGCATCCAAAACACTGCAGCACGAAACTATGTAGCATACTAATACGGCTTCACGACAACGCTTTCACAGTTAAAATACAAAACGCTATGAACGATACGGCGCGCAAACTAGGTTTGTCCAAGTCAGCTTGTCATTCTACAGCTCTTTTGTACCAACAGGCCCCATCGGAAGTACCCCTTGGCTCCCTTAGAAAGCCTCGCACGTGAAGGAAAAAGTTTTTTTCTTATGGGTATTTCACCGACTGTGAAGCCTTTAAAGAATTCATTTGTCACTATTCTCCCACTTTGAATCATTGGGCAACTTGAAGTTTCTCTCGAACTGCAGGGGCCATAGTGCGATATTCTTTGCCAATCTCCTTCACAAATACTATTGCACAGAATGCTTCTATGGTGTGACATTTCATAAAGCAAGAGGCCTCCCGTCTCTTTACATGCTTCAACGACGAAATCACGCTTGAAGTAGTAATATCCTCTACCAACGATAATTTTCGTAAGTGCCAAATATCTGTGACAGAGAAAATGTTCGTATTGCCATCTTTAAACTCTATTAACTTCCCTTGTTGACGTCAGTCGAAACAGCCCTTGTACGCGTACCACACTCATGCTATCCCATCATGTTATGTCTTCATTTTACCGGTTCCCATGTAAGCAAACATATCACCAGCAATCCCTTGGCCATGCTGAACTTCTGACAGCTTTTCATGCTAAACAACTTCGCAGCCGCTCCAACTGAATGCAAGCCGAAAAAACAGCTCTGTTTAGTTGTCAGCTGCCGCAAATGTGGCTAGACTTCAGAAAGGTGGATCAATGCAGTTCATCACCAAATTTATTCTTTCTAGCTCTCCCCTACAGTGCGTTTAATAAGCAACAGCAATGCATTTATTGCTTCATTTTTACAACGTAGAAAGTCCATAGCCAATGCAAGATGTTATGCAATGTGGCAACTGTAACTGACACTGACTTGTTGATAAGAATAGGCGACGTGATTAAACTTCAGACTGCGTACATACACGATGAAGAAGGGAACACCCGCTACCAAAGTGACATAGGTAAAAAAAGGATAAGAGCTACAACACTGGGGCTAACCTGAGCGGAATGGTCCCTTCACCAGCTTCAATCTTCGTTCTCAGCAGCCCTCGCACCCGACGGTTCGGATGCTTGTCCGCATTCAGAGACGCCGAATCGGCCATCATTTCGTGAGGGGAGAAAATGCGACCATCTCCGCAGGGCGATGTACTTATGTACAGGTGGAACCTGCAGGCAAGAAAACATGTTAATATTTTCTGCAAGCATTAATAAAAGCTTGAAGTTTTCAGTAGTGTGACCTTTGACATACTATTAGATTACAATACTTCTTCAGCATATTATTCGTAAGGGCAAAAGTAAAATCTTGTGCCAATGCAAGACTTTATATATGTGCATAGTGGTGTCAAGATATTGCTTAAGTGAAGCGTTAAACATGCATGTGGACATCTTCAAGCCTATCCATATCAATTTAACACATAAGCTCAACATTCAACCAATATTCACTAGCATAATGTTTTCAATTTGATTTGACAGAAAAATACGTTTGTTTTTACGTTTCTGTACAACAGCTTCAGTTGAAGCTAGACAATTATGTAGCCTTTCTACATCCAAAGCTTCCAATATAAGCAGTGAACAGCTAAACACAGTTCGTGGCCTTTCTACATCCAAAGCCTCCAATATAAGCAGTGAACAGCTAAACACAGTTCACATACCAGTACGAAGGACAAGAGATGTTCTTGCACGATATTTTTTTATAATTGTATTTTACAGTTAGCCACAACGCAAGATTGAATTTACTAAAGAGACTCCTGTGCAAATAAAAAGCTGTTACACCAGTCAATTACATTCACTTCAATGACATCATAACAAAGATGAGCACTTTTTCACACTGATATAAGACAACTTTCTCCTGAAGCACATTAGCATGGAGGAAATCTTTTTCACACTGATATAACACCACTATCTCCTGAAGCACATTAGCATAGAGGAAATCTCTTAGGTTGTCATCACAACTAAACAGTGAGGCCCCACTGCCATATCCCACGACAAAAGAACAGCTCTGCCGTACTTGATGTCTGGCTTGACGCGGAATCCCTTCTTGTCCGGCCTCTGCTCGAGGATGGATTCGTTTTCCTTGCCATTCTTCCAGAGCTCGAGCTGTCCATACAGGAAGTCTTTGAAACAACGCCGGGACACAACCTCGGCATGGCAGTCCTGCAGCACTGCCCCATTCATGCTGATGTACTCGCCGTTGATGCACTTTGTGCCTGTGGCCACTGTTAATACCTTCACGTCATCCTCTTTGTCAGCCTCCTGTGATGGCATCGTCATGATGATGCCTGCCAATACTTTCCACTTGGCACTCTCTGCCCGGTCAGCCATCACCTTTTGCAGTGTCTCGTTGACAGTGTTGCCCAGTCGATCGGCCAATGCCTGGGGCAGGGTGTCCACAACAGGACCCTTCTCATCACGTTTGAGCGTTCCCGAAGGATGAGCCATGATATTGTACAACTTGAGCAACGCCGCACGCGCAGCCGCCGCCTTGGCCAGCCTTTTGTTGGAACCACATCCCTCGTAAACATCGCCGTTGCTCGTGGTGACTGCCATGGTGAAACGCTGCGTGGGCACTGCCGCATTCTCTGACACGAGCGTGTACTCCAGGCCTGGTTGCAACTCGTTGAGCAGCATTACTGGATTTTTCTTGTCCGCTTCTTCAGCCGCTTTCGTAGCTTTCTTCTCCGCATCCCCGTCCTTGCCACCCGAAAAGCGCTTTAGCTGGTCTCGGTGAAATTCTTCGATGGGGTTTTCCGCGGTGAACCCACTGAAGATGCCACTGTTATCGTCTTGCTCAACGTCGTCGCTGGTGAAGTCCCCGGACTGGACCATCGTGCGGCTCATTGCCCAGTAGGCTTCGGGCACGTTGCGGAATTGCACGAAAGACTTCAAGGCAGCCTGCGCCGCCGCGTGTTTCGCCAACTGCTTCGACTGGCCGCGACCCGTGAAGCGCTGGCCGTCGACTTCCACCGAGACAACAAAGCTTGGTTGGTGGGCGGGCCCTTCCTGGGAGTCTACGGAATACTTCAGGCCCGGCTTGAGCTCGTTCAGCTGCATGAGCGCATTTTTCGGCTGCACGATCTTTGGCGAAATGCTGTTCTTCTTCTGCTTCTTGCGGGCACTACCTTGTGAGCTCCCGGATTTGCGCTTCGATCCGGGTGTTGCAATGCTTTCATCGCCCTCCTCTGCTTTGCCATTTGGCTCTTGGCCTGAAACAAGAAAGCGACCACTTTTCAACATGACTGCTCTACTCGAGCCACTAAAGAAACTGTGCACTGAACGCATTACACTTGTTAAGTTTCACTTGAGTGCAGTTATCTTCAAGCTCGGCGACGTGAAATTACATGAGCGCACACTATTCAAAGCAGAAAGTGCACTAGGCCACTTCAACTATCAGTCGAATGTTCATGCAAGCACTCTTTCCTGTTGCCTTGCTACAATCACTTCAGTTTTTACGATAAAAGATCTTTGCCCCAGCGCGAAAAAAAAAAAAACGTTTAAAACAGCGCAACGGATAAACAAGAGCGACGAGTGTGCACTTACAGGAAGCCAAGTAGTACGAAATCAACACAAAATTGCGCCACCTGAAACCGGCATTAACGACGCGGGAAAACGCAGAGGGGGACGAATCTAAGTATGCTTACGCTCATTGATTCTGCAAGGCGTCAGCGCGCACAATTCATGCAAACGTCATTTGGCGCAGCGCAGAACCTGGTACAAGAAACCACGGCAGTGCACAAGCGCACACAGCAGCAGAGTTGGAAAGTGCGAGCGGCTAACATGCTCCTCACGGCGCGGTAAACCATCAGCTACCATGTCCTCTCACAGATAAATATTTATGCCTCATGCCCAAAATGAGACATTTACAGAGCACTACGGTCAAAAAGTAGTTGTTTACGGCTCGCGATGGCCGCAAACGATCGCGACAGCCACGGAGTTCAGACAGCTAAGCCTAAAGCCGGTACCAGAGTAGCTACGCGGCCCGCCGTAGACAAACACATTGCAATCGCCGATAACCTGCACACAGCCGGATATAATTACTCTCCTATCAACTACTGAAACGACGAATCGTGGTAAAAAAACACGAAACACTAAACTGCTCGTGCTAACGTACCGTGCCCATCTTTTGTCTTCTCCGGAGTCTGGACCATTGTTACGTCTTCTTTGGAACTCGCCGTTACCGTCGACATTTAGAGCAAATACGCAAAGTAAAACTGCGTTTCTATTAAGGAAGCTTCAACTCGGTGTCCACAAATTATTCGATGCTTCGAATACACAGGGCAAATGCCAAGGAAAACTGAAGCTGGCAAAGCATCTAACAGCGTAGCCAGACTTCTTGCTCGTTTACAAGCCGTGGGGTAAAAAAAAACTACATCACACACAGAAAAAAGAAACAACCAAATTCGCAGAATGAACTACACTGTGCATAATTTAAACTGCTCACTGGCTATTCTCCTTTATTTTCTTACGTACGAAAATAAGAACCATACTTCCACCATGGATTACGTTCGGAGAAGATATTTCGTAGGAGAAGTACGCACCCGACGCACCCCTTGATCGACGGAAATGCGCTCGTCCATCTCTATCAGAATCTCGAAGTAAGTAAGTAAGTAGGTGCTCCTAATCCCTTTTGGCACAGGGCAGGCGCCAGCAGCGCCACAGGACAAAGTTGTGCGCTTCAACGCACATCCATACACACGCACACACACATCACCAGTCAGGCGCTTGCCGCGCCACCGCAAAAAAAAAAAAAACATTTTGTGTTTACACGCACTTCACGCGAACACGCACTCACACGTTTTCCACTTTACTGTTCGAAGAAGAAAGGTCTGGTAGTAAATTGCCCGTTTCGCCACCAGGGGAAACGTGCCCTCGGCAAGTCTATCCAGTGGCGTCGGCGTCTCGTTAGATATTTTCTGTCGGCCCTTCGTTGCGCTGGACACTGTCGGGGTGTTTGTCCACCTGCCAGCACAGTCTGTCCCAGAGTTTTAGACGTCGCTTGGCACTCTCGGTGTGTTCGACTCGGGTGTCGACGGATCATCTGGGAGACCCAGATATTCCGCCAGGTTTATTTGGGTAGGTCCCTCGCTCCGAGTCGCGGGCAATCCATCAGGATATGTTGGATGGTTTCTTCCGTGGCCCCGCATAGGCGGCACGACGGGTCCGTGTCGAACAGTTCCAATGCCGCTTCCGCGTGGGCAGTGACCCCGTCCTGGCTTGGAACAGGAGGGCGCTTCCCGGTCGCCCCTGTAAAATGGCTCACGGTCTGGAGCCTGCTTGTATTCGAGGTATAACTGTAGGCTCCTTTTCTTTGCCGCCGACGTGCGCCACATCTCTGTGCTGGCTTCGGTTATAGTGTTTTTTGTTATTATACGCCATTCTCGTTCCGATTTTGCTTCTTCCAGTTTGTGTTATGGCCGAATTTATTTTCCAGAGAAGCCAGTCGTTTCATCCACTGTGTTTTTATGCCCCTGTATCGGAGGTGTAGGTATATGCGCTGGCTGTAATTGTTTCTGGTAGAAACTTTAGCCGGCCCGCATATTGTATTTTTGACCTTGCTTCGCGTGCTTCGAAAGTTGACCAGGCCAACTCCCCTGTTACTGCTGCGTTTGCTGTTGCAAAGCTGCCTCCCAGTAGCCAGCGCCCAGTTCATTTTGGTGGCGGTCCAAACATCGCACTGTTTGGGTAGAGTACGCCAATGTGTCACCTGCGTAGGTTATTGCAGGCACGGCAAGAGTCTTCCAAAGTGTGCGGCCTACCCTGTAGGGGTTGTAGGAATGCCGTGACAGGTGCCACACCCTACCTTTTAGGCGGTTGGATTGTTTTAGGAGTAATTCTTGGTGTTTGTCAAGGTAATTCTTTTGGTCTGATATTGTTATGCCTAAATATCTGTATGTTGCTGTTTTCTTGATGGTGTTGCCTTGGATGGTGAATGTTATGTCTTTGTCATCAATGTTTATGCCCCATCCATTGTGTTTTGTCAGTGTTGAATGTGAGGCAATCTTCGTGGGGCTACGCGAGAGCATATGTCGAGGAGGTGCATCTCGCCGCTAGAGGGTCGTTGTTGGCTGTAAGCTGTGTAGCCTGCGCCGTTATTGTTTCTTCAATGGCATTACTGGAGCTGATGTGTTACTTGTGCGTGTTAATCGTGCTTTAGTCGGGGCCCGGGGGGCCCTCTTCACGACGTCTGACGGGCTTACCGCGTGCGTCTCGCAGCGATGGCAACGATATCCACGGCCGCGCCGACGTCCGCCGACGCTTGCCTCAGCATCGTGCACAGCCTAATGTGTCACAGGCAGGGTGGTGAATCTGAAAGCTTCGCTAAACGCGCAATCGAAAGCTTGGTCAAGAAGCTGAAGGAGAAGAGGGACGAACTTGACAGCCTGATCACGGCGATCACTACAAACGGTGCCCATCCGAGCAAATGTGTGACCATACAGCGGACTTTAGATGGTAGGCTTCAGGTACGTAGTAACTTCGCAACATCACAGCGCGTGCTCCATCTCCCGACTGGCGAACCGCTAAAGCAGGGCATGGGATGCCGTGTCTTACGCAGGTCGCAGGAAGGAAAGGTTTTCCTCACGTTATTTACGCTCGCATCTGGAGGTGGCCCGACCTCCACAAGAACGAGCTGAAGCATGTGAAGTACTGTCAGTACGCATTCGACCTGAAGTGTGACAGTGTCTGCGTCAACCCCTACCATTACGAACGGGTCGTATCTCCCGGTATCGGTATGGTTGTTTTCTTTTTTCAGCATGCTCCGTTTGTGCGGAATTGTGCTGTCTGACTAAAGCTAAAGTCACCGCCGGGCACGTAGAGGTAGTCACGCCTTGGATGCTTCGCGTGGTGACATTTGCACGAGAGCTTTCAGTTCCAACGCTTGAGCCAAGTCCAGAGAGCTGCCACCTTTTTGGTGGCGGTTTCAAAGCGACATTGGGTTTTGGTGCGCGTGTGTGAATTGAATTTCGTTCATTTTCTTTCGTGATTTGCAGATCTCTCTGGGCTGACTCTCCAGCATTCAGGTACGACACATTTGGGCTCATCTGTGTTGGCATTTCGATATTGTGCCAACTCTGTTAAATTTTTGCATCGGTGCATTCGGATATATCAGCAAACTTCTTTTGAAATGTGATGCACACTGAGATAAGAAAAGCCTCGGTCAATATACCAGTGAAGAGTCAAGCTGTAACTATGTCAACAAGTGAGAATAAGGTTTTAAAAATTTTAACACTACATTGCCTTGTAAACCAATGTTCTCAGTAACTTTGTCACGAGTCAATTTTGGAACAAATATAATATATTGACATTGCATTTACCTGTTGACTCATTGTTTACTTTGTGTTCCCTGTTTCGTCCACTCAAAGAGGACCACCAACAATATGCACGATTGCACTGCAAGGTTATAGAAGGAATGACTACATTAAGCTTTTTTTGATAGAACAAAGTACAAAATTGTCAGCAGTTGAATATGCAAGTTTTGTGTTTTGAACCTATCAAAGTAACACATGGAACAACACTTCACTACAGAGTCAATAATAAACCTTGAAGTCACCTCAAATGGATCACTATGTAGCACACATAACCAAGCCATTGTTAAGCACTCTACGCAGGTCTTAAAGGTCATTCATCATGCGCTAACATACATTTTGTTTTGAGTAGACGTTACAATGTAACAGACGTTGAACCTTTCACATCCGCAAGTGAAGTGGAATAGTGGCAGCTACGAACGATTTTCTTTATTTTCAATCTTTGCTAGTTAGCAAGTTAACAAAAGGTCATCGCTTCATTTTGGATGAAGCAATGTCAGTACCGGTCACACGATCATGAGAGTCGCACGCCAAATGTATTTTATGCTAATGAAAAGACTGCACTGCAAAATATGAAACGTTGCCCGTCTGGTCGATGTACTTACGTCCGCGAATGCGTTTTGTTTCTTGCACTTGAGATATTGTTTGTTGCATCCCTTTTTCGTGTGGATGTAAGTAAGCCAGGTGGGCAGATGTTCAAACATGGGGCTCGGAGAGCAATTCAAATCTTTCAAAGGTTCACCATACTCGCATCTTGCACTGCATTGTCAGCAGTGCAGCAATTCAAATCTTTCAAAGGTTCACCATACTCGCATCTTGCACTGCATTGTCAGCAGTGCAGTTATGAACTGCCAGTGACTGACGCAACAGTGGTGTACAGGAACCATAATAAGACATGTAGAGAAATAATGAGAGCTTTTTTGGTTCACAAAAGTGATCTCGCCTACAAGCTTTTTAGTTAGCTTTTCTTAAGGCTAACCTGGCACCTACGCTTTCTTCGGGAAAAAGCCTCTAGAGTCCGGGCATGCGTGTCTTAATTCGCCTGTTTTCAGTTTTTAGCGTGTCTTCACTGCTTTGCCTTTTGCGTGTACGATTTTTGTTGTAAGGTCCAATCAAGTCGTTGTGTCATCGTGCAGTTTATTGCTATATTAGTTGTTTATTCTTTAGGTGACAATGTGGCCCTAGGCGAGGATTTTGGTATAAAATTTGTTTTGAACTTAGTTCTCATTGTGTGCACACATTCCTCGTTGGTGACACTAGCTGCTTTAATATGCATTCTGACAAACTAACCCAGCTTCCTGTTCTCGTAACTCTAGTGTTGCCAAAAAAAAAAGCTGCTATGCTAAAACAATTTGTTTGAAGTTGTCCGCAGTTTCTGTGCTTTCCGTTTGAAAATAAATCGTAAATAATGATTGTTTTCATCGCAGAAAAGGTTTCTGTGTGACCTTAAAAATATAAGACTGTGTTCAATGAACTATTCTCATGAGTTGTCTCTGCACGGATTTTATGAATTCCATTGTTTACGTGTTTACTGGTATGATATACTCTGGAAGGCATTTTTCACCTATAATTTGAAGTGCAGTTTTATTGGCTAATACATCAGGCTCCAGTGTTTTTACGAGCCAAGAGTCGTGATACAGTTATGAGGTGTGCCAGAGTTATGGACTGTGCATTAAATCAGCCCATGAAAAGTTCTTCAGCATGAATACAAGTTCAAGTACACAGATGTTTTTGCGTTTTGCCCACATGCTTATCAGTGCAAAACCACATCTACTAAGCTGCCACAGGGGGAGGGGGTGCTAGCTATTTTACAAGAGCGGTATAAATTGAAGCAACTTGAGAATTGAGAGTGCTCACCTTGGGTGGATTGTTTCCATTTGTCGGTAATGTCCAGTCAGGATGTTTCTTGACATTCTGTAACATTCTGGCCTTTGAAACACGTGACGTGAAGAAGCGTTAAGGTGATGTACTTCTGCGATTGCTGTCTTGCGTTTCTGACGTCTCTCGCAGATGTGTTTGGTGGTGGCGACGGTCATTATGTCAAAAACGAATATGGGGATTTGGAATGTGGCCCCAGTGGCTTGCAGCATGTTCCACAGACTATCCAGCACCATCCATCACAGGCGTCATCACAGCCGTCAGCGACAGACCCCTACGGACGGCAGATGCTGCTTTCTCCGTCTAGTACAGGTAAGCACTAATACTTCCATTACACTGGCTAATGTAGTGTCACGCTCCCAGAATGTCACTTCAGCGGCGCACTGCTTCTCCAAAAAGGGAAGTGCATACCTTCCAAGTCTTTATACCGTTTCTTCCGTTTGTATGGTTGTCATTAAAATCTCCCGGAAATCAAAATTTTTGCGTGTGACCAAGCTGCATTCACAAAAACGGAGGCCAATCTGATTCAGACTTCTTGCATATCCATCACATTTTGCGAACCCATCGCAGTGATGCAAAACTGACATATACGAATTCGCAAAATTTCCCAGCCGAATTCTGCTGTGTCCATCGGGCCCAAATTTGTATGCTTCGAACACTTTTCCTCATCACCGTGTGTGATATGAACGTCAATACTGAAACCGTCGAACAAAGCCTGAAAGCAGCGGGCTCAATTCTTCGAAAGTACTATGTGCACGGCCAGCGCACGCACTCTCTTCTTATGCGGGTGGTTGCCGTTTGCCAAAACAGATGTGGACGAAATCGCGGTCTCTCTTGACATGATCATGTATGGCGACGACGTGACAGAACTCCAAAAGTGTGCTCGCTTCCGACGCTCCATCAGTCAAAGTGACGCCGATTTTCGCAAACGCTGTGGACAAAACTGTGGCAGATGTGACCGTAGATTGCAAAAACGACTTGGTTTTGAAGGCACGTGTGCAGCCAGTGCATGTGGATTAAAAACGGGACTATGGTTCGCCACTGCCACCGTGCACAAAACCGCTGTCGCAGCAACGTGATAGCGATCTACGAGCTCCGAGTGCACATGGCTAACGCAGCTGTTCATCAAAGGCAATAGAGACATTAAAGACTAAAAGCGTTTTGGCGTTCCTGTCCAAAGAATCTAGTAACGTAGCCCCATGCTTTAACACGAGCCAGCTGCTCCATCCCCTCTTTTCACCTGTGTCCAAGGACAACACGCCAGTTCTTTTGGCAGAAATGATTTTGCTAGTTTGATGACGTGGAATTTCAGGAGTACTTGCGCTCCCCCTTTGAGACTCCTAACTTAGTTGGGAAACCTTACCTTCATGTGTTTCGCCGCTGCAAGCCACAACGCCGATTTTTACTCTTTCGGAGCTTTTGTGACACCCCCCCCCCAGTTTTTCACAATGTCTTTTGTTTTGTTAAAAAGCCACGAGATGGGATGGCCCTAAGGCATCTCCTCCCATGGCTCCTCTTGAAACTTTGTAAGAGGGGGGTCGAGAACAAGTATAAAAAAACGTGTTTTTCTAAAATGCTTATAGTCTCCAACCCCCGCCTCGAAAAAAAACAAAGCAAAAACTATGATTACGGGCCTGGTCAAAGCATAAACCACCATAGAACACAGACTTGACATAGCTTTGCAGCTAAGATCAAGATGGAGTGACAGACACATGAAAGCATGCACTCCATTTGTTTCCTAAAATTTCATCTATGGGTTATATGTGCTTATGTGACCCTTTCTTAATGGTGCAACATGCTTGCATCACTATGTTGTTTTACATGGGCTGCTTCGGGAGTGGCAGGGAATCGGTGTAAAAGGCAGCTCGAGCTGGGATACTCTTGTTAAATGGCACCTGAAGAAACTAGGAAAAGATGCGCTATTTAACAAAGGTTCTATCTACTGACATATAAAGAGCAGTTTAGAATTCAAGTCTGAAACCAATCATGTTAGAAGAAATTGTACCATATGAGGAGCAATTCTATTTAAGAAATTTTAGTTACTATATCTGGGAGTGGCAGTGAGAAGGTTAGTGCCCAATGAGACACACTCGTATTCGCTCAAAAGACCCGCCTGATCATTTTTTTAGGTGCTATCAACATAAATTGACGAGCAGTCCAGCAGCATATTTTTTGAGAGCGAGAATAGTTCGAAACATGAGAACTTATGCACAGGAAAGACCTTCTTTTTCCTGCCGCGCTTTGTGGGGATGCGGCGCGCAAGCATACATTGCATCGCAGAACATACGTAGTAATGGGTTTCTTAAAGTGTACGTTTCACGTCATCGGTGTTGCAGGGCCTGGTGCAACGTCTCCGAACGGCAGCCTCGCAAGTCAATCGAGCCAGTCGGCGGTCAATCCGGTCACTGCAGCTGTTCCACAAGCTGCCCCTTCCAGTGTGCTTTCTCCGCAGCCAGTGCCAGGTGTGGTAGCAGCCGCACCTTCCCAACAACAGGCCCCTCCGCAGGCCGTAACTGCCAATCCCGTCACGCAGCCGCCGTCCAGTACAGCACAAGGGAGCACTTCCCAGCAAGGATATTTTGGCGCCGTCTTGGACAGTCAGTCTTTGAGTAAGAACAGAATCGCGTGCCTTTTAAAAAGTGTGCATTTGTTGATTTCGAAATATTTCTCGAGTACTAAAATTTGAGCCAGAGTGAATTCTGAACACAACAATATTAGGTTGACCATTTCTCAAGCTTATTTTCATTGCAGCAGTATGTACAAACCCTCAAGGTGCATTCTTTCTCAAAGGTGTTACCATCTGTGCTCCCCGCATGGCATGGTGTTAAAATGTTTCTAAAGTCAGGAACTGGTTTCGTCTACTAGAATGATGAATGCAGCTGGAAATCTGCCAAGTCAGCTCGGGGAGAAAACCAGAAATGCGGCCCGATCTGCACTACTGGCACGAACATTCCACATGTGCACATCACAAGCATAGCACAGTACAATCTTATTACTACGAACTTCACAGAACCACCAAATTTACATTGTTGTTTTAAAATGCTTTAGTATGTGCCAAGAGATTACTAATATTTTCATGCTAGCCATGAAGACGATGAAAATGAACTGCCTTTTAAGCAGGTCCACATGGTACTTGCATAATAAGCCGTAATACTATGCACGGTCGGACTACATTTTATTGCTTGAAGAAGTCTCTTCCTCTTTGGTCTATTCCTTTTTGTGATACAGTCGAATGCCGATATGTCGAACCCACATACAGTAAACTCCCATTAAATAAAACTCGATTAAACGAAAAAGTTGCATAAACGAAACTGTCTAGGCGGATTTGGTCATTCTCCTGTATACTTAATGATAAATGTTTTGGGTAATCAGAACTTTTTTTTTTCGCTTACATCGGTTAAGTGAAGCTAAAATGGGCAAAAATCTATGAACGGCAAAAGTGGTCATGGCAGTCGTTCAACCATGAAACATATACGGAAGCGAGCCTAGCCTAGCCAATCCAGCGATCGCACATGTTCACGCACTCCGAGCAGCGATCGACGTCTCGTCGGGAACTTGAGATGTAACCATAAAACGGCAGCACAATGCACTTTTGCTGGCAGTGAAAGTAAAAATCATTCAAGAACTTGACCGCAACGACCTTTCGAAAACGGATATTGCGAAGAAGTTCAATATTCCCAAGTCCACGCTGTCAAGGATACTGAAGAACAAAGAGAAGATTGAAGAAGCGGTAAAGCTTTGGAACTTCGCTATGGAGAGAATGCAGATGAGGATGACGGCATACAAAGAAATCGAAGATGTTCTTCTCTGGTTCAAGCAAGTGCGCAGTGCGAACTTCCCGATCAGCGGCCCCATTTTGGAAGAGAAGGCCAAAGATTGCTACTCGAATGGGGATCGAGGACTTCCGGGCGAACGACGGCTGGCTGAGCCGTTTTTAAAAGCGGCATGGTATTGTCTTTAAGACAGTTTTTGGAGAAAGTACGGCTGTAAATAGAGATATTTGTAGTCACTGGCAACAGGGGAGGTTGCGACAAGTTTTGGAAGCCTACGATCAATGGGATGTGTTTAATGTTGATGAAATGGTGTTGTTTTACAAAGCACTCCTTATTAAGACTCAAAACCTGTGCGGGAGGCAAGCGAAGCAGAGATCGTATTACGGTGCTAGTAGGTGCCAACATGGACGGTAGAGAAAAGTTGAAGATGTTAGTCGTGCAGAAATCAAAGCACCCACGCTGCTTCAAAGGTGTGCGCACACTGCCTGTCACATACCATGCGAACGGGAAAGCTTCGATGATAAAAGCAATCTTCGAGACATGGTTGAGCAAAGAGTACAGAAGATTTACCCAGCAGAACAGGAAGGTTAGTTTTATTGTTGATTAATGACCTGCTCACTGTTAGGTCGATCAGCCTAGAGTTCCTTCCACCAAATGCGACTGCAATCATTCAACCGATGAACCAGGGCATAATTCCAAACTTGAAGGTTCTCTACCACCGCCAACTCCTCCAGCAAATGCTTATTTGTGCAGACAATAAAAAAAGATTACAATGTGGACTTGCTCTGAGCTCTTCACATTCTAACCAATGCCTGGCAATGCGTGAAAATGTCAGCTGTGCAAAGGTGCTTCCACCATGCAAGATTTTCGAGACAAGCCCCGCCGCAGTGATCTAGTGGCTTAGGTACTCGGCTGCTGACCCGCAAGTCGCGTGTTTAAATCCCGGCTGCGGCGGCTGCATTTCCGATGGAGGCGGAAATGTTGTAGGCCCGTGTACTCAGATTTGGGTGCACGTTAAAGAACCCCAGGTGGTCAAAATTTCCGGAGCCCTCCACTACGGCGTCTCTCATAATCATATGGTGGTTTTGGGACGTTAAAACCCCACATATCAATCAATTTTCGAGACAAGAAGTCCTTCCAGATGACAAGAGACAACATTGCCGAGGCTGAGGAGGCTTCTTTTACGCGAGTGGACTATGAAACACTTGATTAAAACGTTGTTATATGCGGCGAGGACAGTCTTGAGGAACTTATTGCTGAGGTTTGAGATGAGGACCCGTGCTCAAGTGGTGATGAGATGGTGTGTGATCCTGAGCCCATTGCAGTTGCGGACAGTGCAGAAAGAGATGCTGTCATCTTGTTGCAGCCCTATTTTGAACACGATGGTGGCACAGATTTCCTGCCGAGCCTTTCAGTCATGCACTGTTATTTTGTGAAAAAATGCTTGAACAAAGCCAAGCAAACTGTTATCACATCGTTTTTTCCGAGTCAGTAATATTAGCAAAGTTTTCTCTAATCAACTATAGTAGTATTGTATACTTCAAAATGTTTTTTTTTTTTTCAGTCAGCCACAGTTGGTGCTTTTGAAATAAAGTCATATTTAATACAATTTGTGAGCCTTGCTAAAATGAAACTTCTCATAAATGGAACCAATTTTCTCGCCCCTTCGAGTTCTGTTAAAGAAGTCTACTGTAATCGTATTTTCGGGTATATCAAACTCGTAAGTTATCCCCTTGAAGTTCTTTTGTAAAAGTATAGAAATTCACATGTTTACATCGAACGTTATTTTCACCTGTCTTTGGATATATCGAACGTTGTGCGAGCTGGAAGGTGCACTTCCGCACTCACCGTGTCATGCGATCTCCGCAGTAGCCCGCCCCCGCACGCGAGTTGGAAGTGTGCTTTGGCACTCGCAGCATACGGCGACCTTCGCGTGGCCCCGTGCCTCCTTTAAAAGTTGAAACACTTGACAAAAGGTGAGCGTGAGAAGGCTTGGACTGCATGATCTCCAACTTGCAGAACATCTTTTTTTTTCCCTCTCTCGTGTTTTCTTCGCGTATTCATTGGCTCGAAGAGCAGGAACGAAGGAGCTGACGACCTCCTTTTTTCGCCCTTTTTAAAAAAGTTTTGTTGCTGTTTTGCAAGTTTTGATCAGTCAACCACTGCTCGCCCCTTTTGCTGTTGCTTTAGCCGGTAACCATCGCCTAGCGAGTGCTTTGTTGGTGGCGTTCGCTTCCGTTGTCGTGTCATCTACCTACCATCGCATGTGCAGCATTCTTCTTTTGTGTGCGTGGTGTGCAAAGCCGCTGCAGGCTCCTTGAATTGTCGGCTTCTTTTGTAGCTATGGCCAGCATCAAGAAGCGCAAGTTCTTGACTTCGCAACGAAGTTGAAAGCTAATCAGCGTGTTGAGACGGGTGAGAAATATCCTATCGTCGCGGACGACTTCGGCATACCACTCCGAGTACATTGGTGAAGGAAAGGCATATATCAAGGCAAAGGTGGTGGAGCAGCAAACATCGGGAGCCTGTTGTGTGACGGTGGAACTTGCGGAAACTGGTAAAGATGGCGATGAAGAGCGCTTAGACGACGCGTTTTGTGAGTTGTTGTCCTTCTTCCCGACAGCTGTTCCACACGAAGTGTCTGCCGACAATTTCGTGGAAGCAGACTGCAATGTTCAGGCCATTGCGAGCCTGGCTGATGAGGACATATTAGCTGCGGTCGCAGGGAACCAGGATGCCCAGGCCGACAGCTCAAGTGACAAGGAGGATCGTCTGGACAAGGCACTGGCTACAAGCGCATACTCCACCCGCTGTAGTGGCGGCAGCGTCATGCTTTCATTCGCTGTTGTATCGGCGACATGGCAGAAACCGGGCTGTCGCAACTGGACAGCCTTGATAAGATCGAGACTAGCGTCTTCAACATGATTTCCAAAATGAAGAAGCAGGCCAAGATAAGCGACTTTTTTTCACACAAAGAAAACATTCTATTGCGGTGTGTGCGGAAATAGTTGCATTCTTGAATGCACCTATTGTAGGTGATGAATTTTTGATATATCGAACTAATTCACGATCCCCTTCGAGTTTTATATTATATGTGTTCGACTGTAGTTGTTCCTGTCGCGGCACTGTCCTCATCACTACTACATCTTTGCTTTCGCACTGTTTACACAATGTCATTACCGGTCAGCTCTACGAATGTAGTTGTCGCCGCCACGTTTTGTATAAAGTGGAAATCAATATCACTGCTTCGCATGTCGTATGTTCACTGTGTGAGTGAAAGTGCCGATCACTGTCACTTAAAGGGGCTCTGCAAGACTTTTTGACCATGGTCAGAAAACGCTATCGATCGCTAGTCGAGGTGCCCGAGAACACCCGTGCCAAGTTGCATGTAGCCTGAAATTTACAATGAATTCCTAAAGTCAACTATAGGTCACTTTCTCTTCTCTTGACAAATGACGCTACAGGTTCAAAATCACTACATCCCAGGCCTAGTATCAGCAATTGGTTGATTTCAGCATGGCACGCTTGGCCACTGTGGAAAACCGTAACTTATTCATGCGCACGTGATCGCAGTGAAAATTTGCGCATTTGAAGGAAAAAAAGAGAGAGAGAGAGAAAAGGCTCAAAGTGACGAGGCGCGCGCGACGCATTTTCTTCCTCCGTGCTATCCCATCTCTCCCTGCTTAGCTTCCAGTTCTTTCGTTAGGATGAAAGAAGAGAGTCTGCGACAAATATTTGTAGCTCATACTAGACAGATTCTTTGCAATTCGGTGAGGGGTGAATTCCTTGTTTAGTAACCATACTGTGCCGTCATTACTATTCCAGTACTATACACC